AAGTTTTTGACGGCAGTTTTCTCTGCCGTCTGTACCATCTCCAACGAAAAATTCCATGCTATTCATTTTGACGGCAATCTTTTTCCAGATATCATTTTTGATGATTTTCTTATCGGCAAGTTCTGCATCATACTCTTGTCGAAGTGATAAAAGTGCGAGAGCTACTTGATGATCTGCATCGGTTGGTATTTTCGCACTTGTCCAGAGTGTAGTCTTATTTTCGAATTGTTTCTTCAATTCTTTCAAATAATTCGCAGCATAGTCGGGATCTATAAATGATTAAAGTAACAATTTGACAGGTAAACTTATAATGCGACGTCGAAACTATTACAATGTAATAATTCAGCCGGCTCTTCATCCACAGATACAATCATGTCGTCAAGCTGTACTTGAACCATGTTGTTTTCTGCTTATTTTGAGCAGTGACAACTAATAAATTATTATTATTATTATATATATGACTCTGAATACTCTGAGGCCACCATAAATTTAACCTTACTTTTTATGTTTCAAACTTTTAAACCTCTCTCTCGGAACGGTTCAAAATATAACGCAATAATTTCAACCGGTTGGTGTGATGACGTCACTGTTTCATCGCGAAAATTACAAGTTTTTAAAACTAACTCAACGTATTTAAAACGTTGCATCGCAAAAAACGCTTATACTGTATTAAAATGTTGTTAATTTAAATAATCCGAAAATTCAACATTTTTAAATCTCCCGATTTTTTCCGGTATCTCCCGAAAAGTTGCGAGATGTCTACTGATTTAAGGTTAGCTTGTGTTGGCAACGCTGCTGACCATCGCGCCATCGCCAGTTCGGCAGTTGGGTGTTGGGTGGTTGGATTCTATGCCTTCAGCCAGGCCTTCAGTTTACATAGTCTGTGGTTTACAAGTGTATTTACAATAATTTACATCGGTGTGCCTCGGTGTTTTAGTGTTAAAGTGTTGTAAAGTTATAATACGTCCTGTGGTCCAAATAAACGAAAAAATCGGTGGATAAAACAAAACAAACTGTTGCGTGTACGGATACCACAAAGACAAAAATTAATTTACTACTTGCCAAGAAATAGAAGAAGGGTTAAAGTCTGTGGGTTAAAGTTTCAAACTGGTTTGGCAATGACCACGAAATTGATATTCGAGAATGCGTTAATGATGTGTAAACCGTCATCAAAATATATGAGGGTGTGTGGCAAACATTTCACTTTATATGACGACATGTTTGGTAAGTGATGTTAGATTTTATTATCGTAGACTTCTATATTGAATGGACTACTCGTGATATAAGGTAAGTGAACCAGTTATCGTCACATTTAAGGAAATTTTTATGCTGCCGAGCATCGTATATATAAAATATGATCGAGAACTAAAGCAACGGTAAAATTTTACAAAACGGACATGCACAAACTGCACCACCAAACTCTACTACAGCACCTCCTGATTACGTTCCTCACTTTCAAAAATTGCGTAAATGCTTCCTTGTGCCACAAAAAAATGTTAGATTTTGCATTCCTGGTCTCTAATGGTATGCGTTGCTAACATAACCTAACTTTTTATGGTCACAACCAATGATCTAGTAGTAGGGTAGATACGCCGTGGCTGTATGTCGTATGTACTCGGAATTGAAATGACCATAAGAAAGAGATAACATGATAGAGAACGTGTCAAGATGGACAAGGAGCACAACAATTGTACCACGTGGGTTACGGCAACCTTTAAATGATTTCTTATGAAAGTTATTGGAAATTTGAGTTTAAAATATTTTTTTTCTACGCAAAACAATTAAACAGACAAACAGAGTAAAATAAATATGTTTATTTTTTATAAAAGAACATTAACAATTTATTTACGTTATAAATAAGGTGACTAGTAACTCTTTGAAATGAAAAATCAGGACACCAAAAAAAAACTTCATTATCTTCATTAAATAAATGACGCCATTGCATTTTTTTTTAATGCCCCGTTACAAAAATGTAATGAGAAAAAAAAACATAAAAGGCATGCAGTCGTTACGTTTCCGACAGCGAGGGAAGTACCGTCTAAACTCATTAGACCAATTTTTTTGATATTTTCTGATGCAAATTAAAAAATTAATTTCACAAATTATCAACATCTTTATATCTATTGATACAAAAAATTAAAAATTACTGATTTTTAAATGTAATTAATTTCGAATATTTATGGCGGATGCGATCTTTTAAGGTACTTCATTAATTTGCATGTTTTTGTGATGCAAGCGGATTGTAAAGTAATATTTTAGAATTAAATTAATCATTTGAAGTAAATGATTATTTAGAGGATCTTGATCCAAAATATGATTACTTAAATCAGGAAAAATATTTTTGCACTCAAGACCTTTTTTGATAGCTTTCGCGCATTCACCAGAGTGCGGGAGGTCGAACTTCCCGCACACGTGCATTTAACTTCCCGTTGCCATGGTAACCTTAAAATACTCGGGCAGTGTCAACATTGTGACGTGTTGACGGCGCTGTCAATGGCGTTGTTTATAAATAACTCACAGTTAATCTCTTCAGTTTAAAGGTTTATTCGTCGCAAAAAATATTGTACACAACACGTTCGTGAGCCTGCTTCCCGCATTCACGCAAATGCGGCACTCCCTTCGGTCGTGCCTCAAACAAGCGTTCATGCGGGAAGCAGGCTATCCCGAACTAGTTGCGTAAATTACTATTGCCAGATTAAGTTGTTCCTTGGTTAAATAAATAAGTTTTAAAATCACATTTCCCGTACAATAGTTTCTATTTGTTCTAAAAATAGTTTCTGCAATTTTACAAACATTAATTACATTGGCCGAAGGTTTAACTAGTCCCCCCTTGTCTTTCCTACTTATTAGTTTAGAAAATGAAGTATTAGTTTCCAACTGGGAGCAACATTCACTGCAGTTAATTTTTTATTTTAATTTTTTGACTATAAAACCACAAATATATATTACAACATCATTAACATACTGACTATGATTTTCCTCATTAATAAGAATTTCATCAATATCGAAATTTAGTTCACCATCATCCAACCTATCAACATTATCAGTCATATAATCTATTTTTTTTTTACTACTCGCGGTAGAACCAATATTTAATATGTAGGTATCGTCCTGTGGAAGGCAATTAGCGGATGATTTTGAAGTGATTTCTGCGTGGATTAGTAGACGTTTGTAAGCGGCCTCAAACTGAGACGCAGTCGGATTGTTATTAAATCCACCCCGAGATCTAATTGCACAAAAAAAAGTTTCTATATTATCTTGACTTAGCTTATAAGTCAACAAGTATGATAAATATTTTTTTTCGACTACAAACTTTTGGACAATTGATTCTATTGATGTCATATTAATTAATAAACCTAGAAAACCTTTTTTACGTTGACTATAAACTAATTCCTCACCTTCAAGAGATTTTAAACCTAAAATGTATTTTCTATGTTCATCAAAAAAAGATTTTATAAATGAAAAATTTGTGTTTGATAAGGGTCTTCTAAAGGAATTTTTACTCAAAAAATTTCGGGTATTGAATATATCAAATAATTTGTCCACAGTCCGACAAAAAGTTACTGTTGCTTCTGAATGTTTAAACTGTTGAAGTCCTTGATCTTTAACACAATATTCCAAAGCGTCGGTCACACTGGTACTAAACACTTGAACAGCCAACTTCACTTTCATCTTTTCGTTGCGATAATCAACGTGTCTCCTTCTAATTTTTGTTGCCAAATGCAGTTCTTCACTTTCTTGTAGATTCACCATTTCTATGAAAAACCTCCACAATATTTGTTTTCCACTGTAAGAAAACCCTCCCCAGTCCCCTAACGCATTGCGAAGCAATTGAATCACATGACATGGATCAAGAATAATAAAAATTTCTTCTTTAGTTTGAGGATGCAAAAAATATGTTTTTAACGTTGATGGGGTAAAATCTGCATCTAAAGTAGAAGCCATCGACCAGTTTGTTGCAGCTCCATCAAAAGTTAAAGATATAACTTTTGCTCCAGCTTTATGCAACATTAATAAACATCCCTTAACTAAATTGGCTTTTGCGTCTGCTGCTATGGATGCTATTAGGAAATAAGCAATTGGCATCTTCCACCTGCAATTGACACCCACCATCAAAAAAACTAATGCTTCTTTGGCCATTGGTAAAGAATCGCTTTCAATATGAACTCCAAAATTAATATAGCCCACGCTTCTTGATCCATTCCAATCTACATGGTTCCTTATACACCTCTCATCCATAATAAGCGAGCATATTAACTCTTTTCCTTCCTTTTTAAGCTCATCAGCTTTCATTTTAATTGCATTTAATGCCTCTGAACTATAGCCAGGTGATCCGTCCACAGTTGAATACCATTTTCTGATAGTATTGGGGTGAGGTAAACAGTTTTGAAAGCATTTTCTGACATAGTTATAAGCTGAGCTAGAATAAAAATTCAGTGTGAGAGCAAATATTCTCAGTTCGGGGGGAAATTTTCGTTCGGTGGTCAACTTTAACTGACGTAGTAGTAACTGTTTCTCAGAGGAGGGAATAGATTCCTAAAAGAAAAACGCTGAAGTAAAAACGCACTAAAACCTTAAGATATTCCCCCAAAATCTGAAATGAAATTTATTTTCTTGTAAAAGAAAGCATTTCATCATGCAAAGCTAAGCAATATTTAGAACTATATATGGTAGTCCTAAAATTCGGCAAGTGCAAGTGCATTGGTGTGGGTCCCGATAGTTTTGACCCGAGTTCAAAACTGCTCGGACCCCACACGTTTACATTTTCATACAATCAGATTAAAAACAAACTACAATATGAGCAAATGAGGTTCTCATAGATCAATGAAAAGCAATGGGAATATGACGTTCATATCACTGTGATTGGCCCAGTTTTTTTTTTACTCCAACCATACATGCATCCATATTTCTGTCTATTTCTGTAACAATATCATTCAGCTACCTACTTTATGCTGCAAACATGCTATAAAAAATAAAATGTATGTATTCTCATTTTTAAAATACTTCTGATACCACAATTTGTCAAACCTGAAGCAGTAAATGGCATTCAGAAGAAACTCTGTTTGTATTCTTTAAGTGATTCACTAAATCATTTAATGATTTTATTCTTTTTTGAAGTCTGCATACGTTTGTTTGTAAGTATGATATTCTTTGTTTCTGTCTATTTACTGTCTTCTCTGCTATCTCCCACATAACTTTAAACTTCTTAGGATTTTCCAAATCTTATTGAGAGAAGTCACCCATATATACTGGTTGATCTCTTTTCCTAGAAACATTATTTAAGTGTTTTAATTCAAATCTAAATCTGAGCGTGCACAGTTTACCGTTTTCTGCACTGCAAAAACGATGATGCTGGCGGTAGTTCTGGCATAGCAGCAGGTTCTTCTGGCATGTCGGTTACAGGAACACACTGCTCCAATTCAGGGTTACTGTTCACTTCTTCGGCATTTGTAAAACTTGTGCTTGCTAATGGCGGAGGTGCATGACTGTAACCATGCATCACAAAAATAATATACATAAAAAAGTATCACATCACACACATACCCCACTGAAAATGATGTTGATGCTGCCGTCCTTTGCAATCTAGTGGATCGTTTCATGGGTTCTTTTTTCATCAGATGCGGTGGAAATTTAAATATTGTAGGAATTACATCCTTTTTTAATGTTTTCAACCCAAAATTATGAATAAAGTCATCCTTCTGAAAATGTTCTGAACACAATTTGGAATATTTTGAGGGTTGAAAATTTTGTCGTTTCATAGCTATGATCCATTGCTGCCGCAAAATTGTATCAGATGGGAAACTGCATACATTACAAATAAAATAGTTTTTAAGGATATATATTAGTTAAAAGAATATTTAAGTACCTATGAAAGGATATGTCGACACCTTTCTTTTGTCGATTTGTACAACCATACGCTGAGCAAGAGATCACCATTTTATTAAAGTCTAAGTCTTCTAATCAAGAACTAGTAAAACAAAAAGAAAACAGTAATAACCACCAACTATTCGTATAATAATTACACTACAAACTACAAAAAAAAAACACTGTCCAACACTGTTCATCAGTCACTAATCCACAAAAAATAGCCTGATAAATCCACAATTGAAGAAACAAATTAAAGAAAATTGATCGTCTTCATCAAGAAACACTATTTATGACACAAACACTTCGAAATAACAAATCAAACACAGTTTATTTGTATAAAACAGCTAAATAGAATGGCTAAAACCGGTGTATCGTCCGTATGTTTTGCCGTAAATCAGCTGACTGCCGTTCGCTATCTCATTTTTATGTTCATTTCAATACCTCTCTCTCTCTGCAAGTTATCTACCCCTACTACCAGATCATTGGTATGCATTGCTAACATAACCTAACTTTTTATGGTCACAACGTGTGGACGTCTAAAATCGGGTTTTTCATAGACGAAGCGCCTTGTCTCTATACCCCATTACAAACGTACTCCTAAGCGTGAAACTTCTTGCTTCGTGGATCAATTAGTTGGAAATTGTGGGAGTGAACGTGCGTGTATATTTGGTTCCCTATACAGTAGACTCACGATAGTGTGAACTAATTAAGGTAAGCCTTGTTCACATTTACGAATTGTTCATAGCAGCGAGGGTATGTGAAAAATATGTGTCATTATAAAAAACTTTTATTAAACAAAAAACGTAAACTGATACATAAATTTATTTTGAAAAGTAACTTGTAAGTGTTGTCCGTTTTAGCCTCTTTTGAGACTTTTCAAATGCTTTTGAGCGTAGTTTTGATAAAATTAAGAAATCTGAGTAATTTACCTCATTTTCTTCGGCCCAATTAATAATTTTATGAAATGCTTCTACAGCTTCTTTGTGTGAAACAGAATCCTTTAAAGTTTCTTCATTTAAGTCTTCTTCATGTTCACTTCCTTTGTTTGTATAGCCAGTGTCTTGTCTTCTTCTAAAAGTTTGTCGTTATTCCATTGGTCAATATCGTTATTAGTACACTGAACCTCTGGATTAATCGAATTCAAAAATTCTTTTACTTCAGAGACTGTTTGGTTAACAGCATTGCATTGCAACTGTTCCTTTAAAATGTTTAGCGGTAGGTATATCATCATCTGGGTCGTTATAATATTGGGAAAGTATATTAGTCCAACATTGGTTTTTGGTTCTAACGAATCCCACGCTAAGTGCAAATTTGTAACTGCATCTTTTAACGTTAATTTTTTTAAAACGTCTGTTATTTTTTTTGGTCTGTTACTCAAAATAGGCAAGGACATGTTTCCTATGAATAACATAAATGTAATGAATTGCGCAGGCTTCTTTGACAAAATCTTACTTAGGTGTTCACATTAACGAAGCACGTTGTTCACGTTACCGAGGTTGTGCACTAAAATTTTTGTGTTCACGTTAGGCGGATGTTCACGTTAACCAGTCTTCACAGTATCGCGAGTCTACTGTATTTGGCACAAGTAATAGGGTGTGAACCCAAGTGCGACTACAACATATACCCGGTGCCCCACGTAACACTTTCGGACCCAATAACTCTGGTATTTTTTTAAGGGATTTTTATTGAATTTAAGACAGGTGTAATATAATAGGTAAAGATTAGGCTGCTACAGCTTCCTGTTGTTAAAAATTATGCAAAATTACGTTGTAAGGTTAAGCAACTAAAATAATGCCTGTGTGCGAAAAATTAATTAAATCACTTTTTTTTTTTAATTTGATAGTGCTGTCGGTGCAAAACAATTGCCTGCGTCGCCGAGTTCAGTTTTGTACACACCTGACATTGTTGTCAAAATCTGACAAGTTATTGAAAATGGTTCGCTTTTCTTTAATTATTAAAATAGAAATCATTTTAACCTACGGAGAATGCCGTGCAGACCTAGATGAAACAATCGGGACTCTTATCGAACGATATTCCGATGACGAATTTGCCAAATTCAAAGTACAGAGAATAATAAACTTATTTGAAGATACGGGAAGTGTACAAGACCTAAAACGAGTGAAAAAAACAAGGTGTTAAATACGCCTAGCAAAATTATTTCCATTCAATTTAGAATTAATTCCTGAACCTAAAGCAATTTTGCACCTTCGAAAAGGTTGTAGTGGAGCAACTGAAAATTAGTATTTTCTTAAAATTCATAAAATGACGCTTGTCAAACAGGAAATCAAATTCCCGCAAGGCTGTCCAAAATGCGAGGATTTGTAATGCTACCTATCCTTTAATCCGTTTTGGAATTATTTGCGCAATAATTTATTGTTCTTTGTCTAACCAGACGTATTTCGGAAATTGAAACATTTACTTTTTCAAGATAATGATTGTTCTCACCGGTTCATATTAATCCTCACCTATCAAAATACCTACATTTCAAATTTCATAATAATCCGTTCAAAAATACCTGAGTTATTGCGCCCGAAAATGTTACGTGGGACACCCTGTATATATTTTTTCTCACACAAGAAAGCATTTGCACAAGATTTGAAGTTGAGGAAGGGGGTGTTGTAGAACAGTTTTGTGCAACTAGCTTTTGCGAAATCGCATAGTCCGTTTAGTAAAATTTCCCCCAACCGAAATTTCCTTTAAATTTACTTCATGTTTATTTTATTTTTATTTATTTTAATTATGTCAAATAAAACAATCATGTAGGCTAAATACTTTTTTATATAAGAAAATATTTATGCGAAAAAAAAAACAATTCGACCTAGTTTATCCACACAATTAATCCTCAAAATACCGGGTGTGAAAAGTTACACATCGTTTCGGATGGTGTGTCCGCTTGCACCATCTTTTTCTAGCGAAAATTAAAAAATGAATCAAAAAGTCTTTGCTAGTCAAAGATCTTGAAGAATGTCAGCACATGGGCTTGTGAACGTTGTGCCCGAAGATTCAGAGTAGTTTTGTTTATCGGCGGTGGCATAGACGTCCTCTAATTCTTCAAAAGCTTCGTTAGAATTTAATTTTTGACTTCTGTAACAATTCTTTGGGTGCAGCTTCATTTTCCTCTAATCTGTTACCTTTAATTTAAACATCACTTTCATCCTTTTCATATAGATGATCAGTTTTACTTACCTTCCGGGTCAAATTGACAAATTTTTCATCACTACTTTTATCTTCAAGAATTTTTCCAAATTCAGCGTTTGATAAAGCTCTGATTTTGTTAATGTGCCATAGTAAAAAATGATAGTACAAGTAACAGAATTTTATTTTTTACTTACGGAGCTTAAGGAAGGAAGTATTGTTCGAGTCCGTCGACCGACTCTCTACTGTTATGTTTTCTCGGGTTTTCATGACCTCTACAGTACGAAGACCTAGGTCTCCCGTTTCCGTCTGTCTGTATGTCTGTCCGTCCGTCCGTCCGTCCGTCTGTTTGCCGTCACGGATTTTTATTAGACAGATAATCTCCGAAAGTACTGGTCCGATTTAATTTCGCAGGCTTGCACGGTCAGAATCAATACATGATCGTTTTCCGGGTTGGAACCGTGTAAATTGAGTTTTTGGGCTCAACGTTTCGCACACTATCGTAAGTGGCATCTTCAGGAGCAGGGTTAAGAATAAGGCAAAAGAGGACGGTAACTCAGTATGTCAGCTATTCCAGAGGCGAAACTCTTTTGAGAAACAGTATTAACTAAAGTTTTTAAAATCATATGTGTTTTTTTATTAAGTTTATGTGATGAAAGCCATCTGCGGACATAAAAGCGTACATTCCGTCTCAAAATATGTATTTTATTGTAATTTTTTGGGTAGCAATTTTATTACTCTACTATTTAAGATATGTATTAACACGTTCACTGCGGCAGCAAAATTGGTTATTATTTCTCCGGTGCGATACCAGTCTCAAGTTACTGGTACCAGAACTCCTCATTCCAGCGGTACCAGCTCCCCGTGCCTGGTAAACATTTCTAGATTATTACATTTCAGATTTTCTCAGTTCTAACGATAACCAAATTTTTTTCGGTCAGTTAGAGTAAGAAGGTAATAGTCTTTATTAAGTACTCCTGAACCGCTTGTGTATATTCAGATAAGTTAAAAAATTATACAGGATCAGATGTAACCCTTTATTTCTCGTATTTCTTTTACAGTAATTTAATTAATTATTATATTGAATGTTTTTTTTTTATAGAATGGGCTTCTTTGAAGCAGTTTAGGAACACTGCAGGTTTGTTCTTACAATCTGTAGAATATGATTTTACTTTTGTTACTTTTTTACCAGCTTCTCTGCTTGACATTGCCTGACATACTTTTTTGTAGCATCCTACACAATTTCTTTTTTTTTTCTACTGGGTCCTTGTTCTACTTTGAAGGTGTGTGCTCTTTTAAACGATGATGTACTGGTATTGCCTACAGTATTATTTTCAATGGAATTTTCAGAAGTTAGTTAAAATGGTAACTGTTCTCTAAATTGCAACATAGCAGCATTGTCTTGTTTATGTACTTCATTGCAGATTACGTGCGCATTTACAATTGCTGAACCAAATATCAACTCTAACGCAACCTTCCTGTATCACTTTAAAACTTTTCTTAATGTAGAATACAAATTTTGTAATAACCTCCAATGATATGTGAGGCATATGAAGCGAGATGTTTGCAAAAAACAGAATTTCGTCACATTTGACCTTTAATATCTTGGCTGGGGACATGATGTCTTATGAGATTTTCAGCCCGTCTTTAGAACGTCAAAACAAAGGTCTATTAAAATTTTTAGCTTTGTATATTTCATTTCGAGGTTTAATCCTTATTTGCTGTAAGTATAGTGAGTGACAAAAATCTAAAAAATAACAAGAACTAGTCATGTAATTAAGCTGATTTTAATATATTATATTTAAGTGGTTAAAATAAATACATGCTCAACATTCGAAAGAAAAGAGAAAATAAAAAAAGTTAGCTTTAATAATGCGTTACTCCGCCGTGGTGCACCCATACGTCGTGGCATTGAGTTTATGACGTGGTCAATGTCGTTCTGGGGTATTTCATCCCATGCTACCTGTATTTGTTGCCGGAGCTCATCTAGGGTCTGTGGAGGATGAGGTAAATTCTCCAGGTGTCTACCGATAATATCCCAAACATGTTCAATAAGATGAGAAAATTTTGGAGGCTAAGAAAGCAGAGCGACTCCGGCGTCTTCAAAAGAAGCCAAAGTAACCTTGGCAGTATGCGGCTGGGCATGATCTTGTTGGAAAAGCGGCTGTTGTAGGGTGTGAAGATAAGGAAGAAGATGAGGTTCTACAATATCTGCAGTGTAGCTTTGGGCATTCATAA